CTCTCCCTCTCTCCCTCTCTCTCTCCCCCTCCCATATACAGACCTCCAAGAAACATCCTACTTTTATCCTAAGGACGTTCCCAAACATCCTTCTCGGATAAAAAGTGTGCTTATTTATATCTTTAATGTTTTCATTTCAATAATTAACTTTGTTTATTAAGCAAAAAATATTAAGTTATTGATCGTATAAATCGTGGGACATTGTTTACTAAAATGCGAGCACATAGTTGAAAAAAGTCTTCCTAATGTGAGATACATACATATGTATACATACAGGATGGTTCATTTGAAGCTTCAGCACTGAATATCTGGAAAACTACGCATCGGATTAAAAAATATGGATAATGAAAGTTGTTCGTCTCGAAAAGGGACATCCAATTATACCAAACTCGACTCTTCACCCCCACTCTACGGAGGTGGAGAGGGGAGAGAATAAAAATCTTAAATGAAAATCCCTATTTTTTATTACATATTTGGATTCTGCAGAAAAAATTATATTGATTTGACCTACGATCGAAGTCATTTTTATTGAAAAATGACGCTGTAATCGTCAAAAATTAAAATGAGTACAAAACCGTATAAAAATAGGTATATCTCGAAAAACACACATGAGATTAAAGTCAAAGTAGACGGGTTAAATATTTTTAAAAAAGCTGTCCAATGATAGCAAACTTGACCCCCTAACCCCACACTTTGGGGCAAGAGGGGGCAGTATTGAAATCTTCAATGGGAACTCCTATTCCAATTTTATCCCTCTGACGGCCCGATGAGGGACTGCTTGCCGCGTTGATTTTTTTTTATGAGGGATGATCAAACAAGCAGTTTATGAACACGCGCCAACGACGAGAGAGGATGTGAAGCAACGTATTGGAAGAGCTTGTGCAGCTATACCTCAAAATGTGTTACTGCAAACTGTGGATAGCTGTCACAAAAGATTAAACTTGTGTATCCAAGCTAATGGAGGTAATTTTGAACAGCTTCTTCGAGGTTAAATCTGAAGACTTTGTGCAGTTCAGAATATCCTTGTGAGAGGCAAGGGGACTCACGTTAAAAAAGCACCCCATAGGAAATGATTCTACTACGTTCACGCCGTTGTTCGCCCGGGTAACGCTAAAAGTAGAATGAACGTTTTTTCTAGTTTGCAACAAAATACATAACTGATGAACACGACTTCTGTAAAAGTCAATAGTACAAACTGGTACGTGTAATTTGATTTCTCCACAGAATTCGAATTTACAATATAAGATGGTTTAGTTTTTGATTACAGCGCCATCTTTCAACAAAAATGACTTCGATCGTAGGTCAAATCAATACAATTTTTTTCAGAATTCAAATATGCAGTAAAAAATAGGGGTTTTAACTTAAGATTTTTATTTTCCCCCTCTCCACCTCCGTGGAGTTGGGTTGAAGGGTCATTGGATGTCCCCCTTCGAGAACAACTTTCATTATCCTTTTTTTGATCCGATACGTAGTCTTCCAATTATTCAGTGCCGAAGCTTCAAATGAATCACCTTGTATATGTATAAATAATAGGTAAATGTCTATAGATTAGGGAATGATATTCATATTAATTATGTTGTTACATTAACGATCTTTAGAATGGAAATATATTTATATTACATTATTTGGTAAATGTCTATAGATTAGGGGACCCTCCCCCAATGACCTTAACCTTGACATATATTATCAAGGACATGACTCTGATAGTAACCTCCAATATCCCTGGCGAAAATAAGAAGTTTCATAAGTGTTTTTTTGACGTTTTCATGAACGTTTGTAGGAGTTTATTGAGAGTTTAGAAACGGTCAGTAGAGTGTTTGTAAAGCAGAAATTGCAACGCTTCAGCGTTTGAAAGGCGTTTTATACAGCATTTTTGAAAGTGTGCTAAGCGTTTTAAAGTATGACGTTAACGTTTACTGACAGTTCTTTAAATCATTTGTAGATTCTGTATTAAGCATTTAATAGACGTTTACTCAATTATTGGAAACTGCCTGTTAAGCGTTTAACAGGCGTTTTTACTTTGATATTATAAATATCATAAAGAGCGTTTGCTATGGGTTTAGAAGCGTTTGTGAACGTTTTGTAAGAAACTTCGCAGAATAGAAGAAACAGAGAATAAAAATTTTAACCTACCAGAAACCGTGTATACTAGAATTCACGGTTTCTGATTGGTTAAAATTCTTATTCACTGTTCCCTGTTCCTTTCATTCTGCGCAGCTCCTAATTCTGAAATAAGGAAATTTGTGAAATAAATATTATTTCACAATGAACTGCAATACCTTGTCGCTAGTCTCATTTCATAATATCAAGCTAATTAAAAAGCATCAATAATTTGTATTAACATTTCTGATTTGTTTTAAAGCATTGCGATTGGTAACAGGATGCAACTCATTGTAGAATGTCCTTTAGTGTAAGGAAAAGTTAAAGACAAAAATACAGTTATTATAAAGATAAAAAATTATTTATTACGATTATCAATAACAAAATCAACAACCAGAAAGCAATGCTAGAAGAATATTTATATGAGTTTTAAAGAATAGTGTATGTGGCTGTCTCTGAAGTCCTGAAAAAAAGAGAAATGTTCAGAATAAAACGATAAAATATTTCATAAAATTGTGGTTTTTATAATACTACGTACTTAGCATTCTCTAACGTCGCTGCTATTGCTCCTGATGTTGATGACGGAGTGAAATAGGAACAATCAAATGATTCCTTTTGTAATAACAGCTGTGATGATTGTTGTTGGAGTGGCGGTTCTTGATGTGGTAATTGTTGTGATGGTAGTTCTTGATATAGTGATTGTTGTGGTGGTGGCCGTTCTTGATGTGGTAATTGTTGTGATGGTAGTTCTTGATATAGTGATTGGTGTGGTGGTCGTTCTTGACGTGCTTGTTGTAATGGTAGTTCTTGATGTAGTGGCTGTTGTTGCGGTGGCTGTTTTTGCGGTAGTTGCTGAGGCAATAGTATTTGTTGAATATTGGGTTGCTGCAGATGTGGTCGTTGCTGAAGTTGCTGTATTTCAAGCAACGGCTGACCTTTTCTCTTATATTTGCGCTTTGGCTCGGTGAGTTTATTTTGACTGTGTTTAGAAACACTGAGGTTTCCATTTCCTTTCTTTGCGCCCCGAGGACCCTGCATATCATATGCCCGATCCGCGAGGTAAGCAGGAAGCGTATTTACATATTTCTCCACTTCTATTGTTGAGTATTTTGAATGCAGCTGCCCACTCGCATCATAAACTTTTTGATTGATTAGCCAATCACGGTGCATTGCTATAAAAAGAGAGAATCTAAGTTTCTAGTACAATCTAAAATTATCGCATGATTTAAAAAAGCCGTGTGAAGCAGTTACACTTAGCCACCATGAGGAAGTTTGGAGGAAACTTTTGATTCTCGGTATGCTTGCTGTTGGCTCGCACTCTCATAAGATGCGCTATCTCACCAAAGACTCCTTTAAGAAGAGCATATGCCCAATCAGCGTGGTTCTCTTCCACATTTATTAATTCATCATATGCTGCTTTGGAGCAGAAAATTCCATCTCCAAGCAATACCTAAAAAGGGAGAACACATGAGATGTTAATGAGAGAAGTTAGATTACAATATTGAAAGTAAACCAAAAGTATGTTACAAATGAACTCTTTTAACCTCATCTCGAAGTGATATTCAACTCACTTTTTCTGTGTTTAAATCACTAGTAGAGGTAGTCGAACAACTACTTGTAGAAGACATAACATGACCAGAATTTGACGTCAAAATGACGTGTGTTTGCTACTTGGGTAGTTGTATATCTAGTCATTTCTATTTCATGAAACTGTACTTTTTACACAATACTTCATACGCAGTCATACGTGAGACAGCTCAGAATCTTCATTTGATCTCATCTCGAAGTGATATTCAACTCACTTTTTCTGTGTTTAAATCACTAGTAGAGGTAGTTGAACAACTACTTGTAGAAGACAATGGTCTCATACCTATATAACATAATAGATAATGTGAATAGATAATAGTTGTATATCTAGTCATTTCTATTTCATGAGACTGTACTTTTTACACAATACTTCATACGCAGTCATACGTGAGACAGCTCAGAATCTTCATTTGAACATATATGAACAACTTTTTATCCCAGAATACACAATATTTATAAAATATTTACAAAATATTTGTAAGATTTCGAATATTTTTAAAATATTTTTGTGATCTTAGATGGCACAGATCATAAGTATTTATTATTTATGTTCACTTTGTACTGGCACCTTTAATAAATAATATATCAGTTACTTTTCATGATAATACTATTATTAGATAAAAAGGTGTAAATTTTTGAGTATCCTTTTTTGAATAATAAATATTGAAGATTGAACTCGGGTCTACAGATCGCGAGTTAATCGCACCGAACGGTGAGCCACTCGACGCCACAATAAGATATTATAATCTAAGTAAAAAACATTTTCTAGAAATATTTATTTACATTTGTCATAAATTATATAAAATATTTAATCTATATTTTAATAATAATTCGAATAAAGCTTTATATAAAATATGTTGAAAATATTTATATACAATAATATTACAAAAAATAAATAATATTTTTATTTGGACCGTGAGAGTTTCAAACTAAATACCGACGAGAAATAAGCCATTTACGATCAAACCGGATCTTGGATACTTCTAATATAACTTTCGTGTAAATTTATATACTACGTATGTAAATTCTAAATGCGCGTCGAAATTTTTTTAGACTTTTACAACGTAAACTAATAAAGTACCGCAGTATTATCACGAGTAGTTAAATTGACTAACAATCTAACAATTTTGATGCTTATTTCATCTTGGATCTTAATAATATGTTGAATGACATATTCAAAGAGCATCAGTTATTAGTTTACGTTGTAAGTCTGAAAAAATTTCGACGCGCATTTACAATCTACATACGTAGTATATAAATTTACACGAAAATTATATTAGAAGCATCCAAGATCCAGCTTGATCGTAAATGGCTTATTTCTCGTCGGTATTTAGTTTGAAAAGATAAATAATAATAAATATTTATGACTATTTATTACAAGTATTCTGTGCTGTCTTAAAAATTTTATTTAGTAATTTATAATAGATTATTACTATTTCTCTCTTATATTTTTAATATTATGTTTAAATCTTTATAAAATATTATTACTTATTTATATTTTAATAAATGTACAAATAATATATTGCTCAAAGTAATATACTGTCACTTTATTAATTCTCAATGTTTTTAATTTCGGTCAAATCGTTTAACCAATGTTGTACATACTGTGGATAAGGCTGTGAAAACTTACTTATTGAGTCCTCTACATTTGTCATTTTTTTCTCCAACTCTACAAATTTTTCCAAGTTCACCTTTCCTGTACTGTCTAATTTCTGTTGAAAATTATCTTGCAATTTTTCAACTTTCTCTTCAATTCTTTGTAAATATTCTCGAAAAATGTTGATATGATCTCCACCTTCAGATAAATTATTTTTTCTTTCCATTTTCAATGCAGATTTTAATTCTTCATTTTCTCGCAGCAAACGTGTAACTATGTTTTCATCATCTGTGACATTCTCACATGTATTACTTTTATTCAGATTTCTAGAGGCAAGTAATTTTGCATGGATAGCATCAGTAGCATGTTTCTTAGTCTTTTTTCTATTTCTCTGAAAAAAAAAGATATCAATACATCTAAATTGTCACATGTCAAATATTTGCAAAAATTATACTTAGGTACATTCGAATCACGACTGTTGGTGATGGTCTCATTAAATAGATCTGTTCGCTGTAATACACCATCATTATAATCACTTGAGAGTGGTTCAGATTCATTTTCATCTGATATAGTAGGCCAACTGACTCTCTTCATAATTATAGCACGTTCTAATGCCTCTCGAGACTCTGTACAATAGAAATAAGTAAAGACTAAATTAAATTATTCTTATAATTTCAAATATTTTATAATTTCTTCGACGCAGTTTCGAATTGCTATAAAACTAATAAATTATTAATAAAAAAAATTGAATTATAAAACCTTTTCTCTCTATTCTCTTTTATTAGTAGCTTATTAGCAGTTTTATGGCAACTCGACAACTGCATCCAAGAAATCATAAAGAATTTGACAAAACAGATTATAGCATAGAAACATCACACACACACACGCACGCACGCGCGCGCACGCACACACACACACACACACACACACACCTACATACATACGGTTACATATAAAGATTAAGTTATAATTTCATCTTAGACTTGGATGAATATTACATACCAGCAAGCAAACCGATTAGAGCATACCACTTGTGCTCTTTTCCATCCTCGCTGCCATGCACAGTGTAAACTGTGTAAAATTTCATTTTGTCAAAATCCGTTAAAGTTTTCGGATTAAATATTTTTCGTTCACATCTTTCCAGTTTCACTTTGACTTTATGCACTGGCACTATTTCTGTTGTATTGCCACTCTTGTACTTGACTAACGCATACCACCCAGAATTGTCTACTTTATTACTCATGGCAAAAAGATTGAAATGGAAAACAATGCCTCTTTAGCTCAGATATAATATTACTGTACATCATATATCTTCTTCTTAATTGTTAATGGCTCCTGTCTCCAACAGCAAAGACAATACGGCCAGATCACGTCAAATACTGGCGATGCAATGCCCGCGAGAATGGCGTTGCTCGATCGGTTTCCGGGCGCCTGACAATATGGCGTCGTCACGCCACAATAACGCGCGTCATAGGAGCCCAGGTCGTCAAAGGGTGCTAAATGACGAACAATCGAGACGAGCTCCACCGCGGACACGCATTTATATGATTCAATGCACAGTCAAAGTCGGCAACACTTTCAAAATTGTATAACGAAAAAACGCCTCAGGAGAGTCAACTAGCGTGGTAGGGGTAGGTCAAAAAACGTTCGCGGTTATTCAAACCAATCACATTGGCTGCGTTCCGTTTCAGACATATGCGCGCATTTTATATAGTGAACGTCACGTATACTATAGGGGAATGCGCGCATATGCGTGAAACGGAACGCAGCCATTGTGTGAAAGTTTGCGCATGCGCGCATCGGTTATAAACAAGAAGTTTTTGATGTTCTTAACCTTTGTTTTCCCCTCATCCGAGGGACACACTTAAAAAAAAATCTTCTTAAACCATCTTAAACAGAATGTAAGTTGTAAAAAGAAATTATACTGCACATTAAATGCACATGTCAAACAAGGTTTGTTTGACATGCGCAGTCACGAATTGAAAACGACTATCAGAGCGACAGAGAGGACCAATGAAGCGTAAGAATGGGGGAAGTTATCCGCCGTCACTTTTTGACTTACCCCCTCTACCGATATTTGGTCGAGTTGACTCTCCTGATTCTAGTCTTTTTAGGCGTTTTTTCGTTATCCAACCAAAAGCTACCAAAAGGTACCGCGATTAAGGCTATCTTTGTTTTCAGGGATCAGAAGACAAAGATAGCCTTAGTCGCGGTTGCTTATGGTTGTATAACGAAAAAACGCCTCTTGATCGACTGCTAAACAGGCTTTTATTTTTTTAACGGACTGTCGTGTTATTATCAAGAGGCGTTGACCAGTAATAAGATAGTGTTTTCGGCTACCATATTGACGAACTGATTAAAG